TGGGGTCACATCCCTCCTGGCTAGAACAGTCCCCTGGATCACATTCCCCCTGCAGAACATCAACAGCTCATCACACTTCCACGAAAGCCCATCCTGCCAGGAAAGTATTTCAGGACCTCCTGGGCCTACCTGCGCACTTTAGCCCCTGGCGCACCAGACCCCAGAGCATCTCCCCGCAGTGATGGCAGAAGGTGGGCGTCCGGTAGGAGTGGACCGCCAGCGCGTGAGGGCACAGCTTCAGCGCGGTCAGGGAGGCGGAGCCTGTGAGGGAGGGGGCGGGGAGGCAGGAGAGGAGCTGTCCAATCAGAGCACGGCCTCCCCCAGGCACACCGGGCCAATCAGGTAACGCGGCGCAGGCCGGTGGGGGAGGAGTCACAAACAGGAGCAAACAACTCCCTCTTCCAGGGCAGGTCGTTAGCATTGCTGAATTAGGTAATGATTCCAGAATTAAATATGGAAGTGCACTAAAACAATTGCAAAATATGATCATTAGTTGATGTAACACATCAATTTCCCTACGGGACTAATAAAGTATTATCTAGTTAACACCGGAAACCATTACTAAGAAAGTGATAGTTTCCTCCTTTTCTTTCCTAATTGCTTCCTGGCTGGGGGAGTGGCCGTGCGACGCCGCCCACCTGACAGCACCACCTCGATCAGGTCCCCCTCCTGCAGGGCGTCTCCTCCACTCAGCCTGCGCAGCACGTTCTCCGACCCCGGCTCGTGACGGAACAGCAGCACCTTCTCCCCCAGCCCGGCCACGCTGCAGTCAGGAGCCTGCGGGGACACGGGGACACGGGGACACACAGAGACACACAGGGCCACGGGGAGACACAGGGACACAGAGAGACACACAGGGCCATGGGGAGACACACAGGGCCACACAGGGACACAGAGACACAGGAGAACATAGGAACAGTGACAAAGAGACACAGGGACACAGAGGAACAAGGACACAGGGGAACATAGGAACAGTGACACAGAGACACAGGGACACAGAGGAACAAGGACACAGAGGGAGACAGGGACACAGAGGGACACAGGGGAACATAGGAACAGGGACACAGGGGCACAGGGACACATAGGAACAGGGACACAGGGGAGCAATAACACAGGGACACAGGAACAGGGGGGCACACAGAGACAAAGAGATGTTACATCCATCCACCCATTTTCTAACTGCTTCTTCCAATGCAGGGTCAAGGGAGATCCGGAGCCTGTGCCCTTGTGCCAGCAGGCAGCGAGCACGCCAGCCCATCACCCACCAGCCTGTCTGTGGCCTGTGGCAGGAAACCCATGCCAACACGGGCAGAACATGCAAACTCCACGCAGACGGTGACCCTGGAATTGAACCCAGGGCCCCAACGCTGCAAGGCCGCAACTGCCAACTACCGCAGCACCACTGCGCCGCCCCCCAGAGACATTACAGTCCTGCGCAATTCAGCGCCCCGCCAGAGGGGCGGCGCCGTCACCCCGCCCGACACGACCAAAACGTGCTCTGCGCCTCTTCAGGAACCCCGGGCTCCAGTCCGTTAGCGACACAGCCCTGACTGGAACGGGGGGTCCACCCTGGAGCGGGACAGGGCAGCTCAGGGAAAGCGTTTTGGGGGCCTCAGTGTTCCTGGGCTCTGAGCAGG